GAAAGAGCTTCGTTTTCTGAGCACAGTGATATTTTTTTTCGAACTCACACACTTTCATCTCTGTTTTTAAATCAAGATTCAAACGAAGACAACAAATCAAGAAGACTGGCAACTTTGCCAGAATCCAAGCGACATATACAATGGCGCTGCGCTTGAGTGAAGGTAATGCATAGAAAAATGAGCAAATACTCAAACCCGTCTTCTGAGGATGTAATCTTTGCTATCAAATTCCATCGAAGCATTTACCTTTGAGCGGCAGATTACACGGTTGTACCTATCTCATAGCGTTCGTATGAGAAAATGGATGAGTTGCCAGTCTTCTTGATTTGTTGTCTTCGATTTAAAGCATAATAATCAAGGGGGGGAGGTGGCTGTCCAATACGCCTATCTCGCATAACGGGTTCCAAACGTAAACAAGCCATAAGAAACCTACAGCGTTTGTTTACGTTTGGAACCAGTTTCATACAAGAATGATCAGTAGGGTGATTTGACAGCACGCCCCCCCAGAAAATAATAACTTCACAATAACTTAAAAAATGCAATATTATATCATATTCCAGAAAAAACACTACTCTAGATTTTACATGTACTCTAGGAAACCAGCTGGTTGTAAGGTGCGATAAAATTAGGGACTTAGGAGTAATTCTTGACTCGAAGTTGACATTTGTAGATCATGTGAATACCACAATTCACAAAGCAAATAATATATTGGGATTCATAAAAAGAATTAGTTATCATTTTAAAGACCCATATACCATCAAAACACTTTATATAGCTTAAGTGAGATCAATTCTCGAATATTGCATTGTGGTTTGGGCTCCATATCATGAAACTTATATAAATGGTATAGAATCAGTTCAAAAACAGTTTTTGTTATTTGCTCTTAGGAAACTAGGCTGGACCTCTTTTCCCCTTCCTTCTTATGAGTCCCGTTGTTGATAAACATTGAAACACTTAAGAAATGAAGAGAAATTTCCATGATTTCCTTTGTCAATGATATTATCTCACAACGCGTAAATTGAGAAAAAATATTAGCAAGATTAAATTTTTACGTACCATCACGCATGTTAAGAACTCGAAATGTATTTCAACTGTCACCTCACAGAACGAACTATGGTAAAAATGGACCAATTAATAGAATGATGAGAGTGTATAATAATAATTGTGAGCGTATAGATCTAACGATGTCTAAAGATACAGTAAGTAGAACACTAACTGCTAGGATTTCATCTCGTTGAGTTTAAAACAATTTTTATTTTTTAGATATTTGTATATGCAGTCTACATTTACTGACAATTTCAAATAAAACGTATGTTTTAAAATAGCATGTAAGGCAACAGCACCATTGTAAAACGGTCTACAATTGTTGACGACAAATAAATAAATAAATAAACTGACAGCTCGCTCCCATACCAAGTGACAGCGAGGGGCGCTAATAAGGTGATTTATGCAAATGTAATCGTACTTATTTGAAATAGTGCCAGGGTACCATAATTGATGAAATTTCGGGGTTGGGTTCCATTTTTAATGCAGATTACGAATATGCATTTCCCTCAATACCCCCTTAAAGAACCCAATTGTCATCACAACTCTTTTTAAATTCTTCTAAGAACTTATTTGGAATATTCATCAGCAATGGGCCTGGAATCCGCTTCACAATCGCCAAAAATTAAAAAAAAAACAACCTAAGGATTCTATTATGAACGTCTGAAGTTCCAAATCTTCCCTAGAGTTTGTTGTTATCTCCAGAATTCGTTCTAAAATCTCTTCAAAATTCTCATAATATTTAGTTCATCAAAGTGACTGTATCCTGAAAATTTTGTCCAGTCCAGGGGTCATCAAATTGTTTAAAGGTCCCGGTGATTTCAAATTCGTTTCTTTTTCCCAGTTTTCCTGATTTCCCGGTTCACTAACGGTACATAATTAAACAAATAATAACTTTTCGAGATCAAATTTATGGGATCGTTAAACTATTATTTGTTTTATATTAAAGGAGCCTGAAAAATGCTCATTAGACTGATGCAAATTTTGAAATTTTCGCTCCACAGTGCTCAAACGGTTCCAAATTGGGCCCTGATTAGCCTCCCAAAATTTGAACTCATTTAGTGAGAAACTGACTTGGCACAAACCATTTGAAGTTTATATGGGAATAACTATGGAGAAACCATCATTTCGGTTCATATCTATCGCAATATTCACCAGTTTACTCTACTTTAGAAAATGATAACTGAGCTTGTTGAAAATTTTCTCAGCTACTACTTTGTTCAAGACCAGTTTTCGATCAAATGTAAGGAACAAAAGTTATTAATTATTCAAGTCAGTGATGTCTTATGATTATGCTCAATTAACTGTTCAGCAGGCAACATTGGTGTTTATGGCGCGTAGAATAGAGTACAAAAATCATGGCTACTATGTCACACTGCAGAATACAGTGTTGCCTACAATACTGTTGCTTAATCTTGCCATAAGATTATCAATCTCTTGAACAATTAATAACTATTTAATTTGACGTTTGGCTGAAAAAACAAGTTTCTGCAAAGTTGTAGCTGATAAAAATTCCCATAAGAATAGCAATAGAATTTATTAACTGTGCAATATGTAAAAAGGCTAAAAGACAATGAACAAAAAGTTTTGTTTTCCCATAGTAATTTCCATTCAAATGGTTTGTGCCAAGTCAGTTTCTTATCAAATGAGTTTAAACTTTCGGAGGCTAATCAGGATTTGAAACCGTTTCAACACCGTGGAGCAAAAATTTCAAATTTTGCATCAGTCTAATGCTCATCATGGGTTGTGATTGTGAGTTAATGAAATTTCTCGAAGTGGGTCGCAGTCAACAAAATATTGGAGCCATTCAATTTTTTTATTTGAAGATTGGCTGGTAAGACATACAGCGCCCAGAGGGCAACAATTCAAGAATAGCATGACTTGTAAATGCTTTAGATTGGATTTATAATTCGATTGTTTAAATTTCCATGTTTAATGGCCATGATCAGCCATTTTATCATGGACACAAACATTGTTTATTGGTAGAGGAAACTGCCTCCGCCACGAAAAAGACAATCTTCGGTTTCCACACTTTACCAATGTTCGTACCACCTCTGATAGCGATGACTATGTTTCCACCTCGTTTTTCAGCTCAAATCAGCAAATGACGTTCGATGTAATTATTTACATCATCGTTTTGGATGATTTGCGTTATGGGGCTGAACCAATACCATGTGCGTTTCTATCTGGGATGACAATCATTCTACAGAGAGCATTATGTATTTCAACTGAGGTCCGTTCGCTTCTTGTATCAATGTTCATCCTGTATTCGAGAGGAGCTTCATCTGATTACAAAACAATCGTCAACGGTTGCAGCTATCATTCAAAGAAGCGATTTCGGTGTTTTGATTTGAATGGTCTGAAGTTTCATTCGAACAGAGGATGATGTTTTGGTATAGTGTAGGCTAATGTTAGGGTACATGTCAAGGCTCATTTTTGTACACTCTATTCTAGATAGAGCTGGAATTAGGGCGCAACAGCCTTTGTAAACAATGACTTCTCTCGTTGATTTCTTGGAATTCAAGGCACGCCTACACAAACCAACATATCCATCGGGTAGGAGAAGTTTTCCTCTACTTGATGGTGATGTCGATTTGCCAGGGAGAGCCATGGCTTCCGAGAAATCTTCGAGAGAAGTCATTGTTTACAAAAGCTGTTACGCCCTAATTCCAGCTCTATCTAGTATTGTTGATTCGAAGGGAGATGATGATGGCAATGGTTACATGATAGTTATGGAAAAGAAAACAAAACAATAAATAACTGTGTTTTGTTTGTGATTTGTTGGCAATGGCAGGAATGCTAAAAGCATGACAGATCATAAATGATGATTTGATTGCTAGTTGTGTGTTTTGTTTTGTTCTGTTTTGTGCTGTGTTTAATCGTGATTCGTGGTTCTGAAAAGCTCAACAGGTAGGATATTCAGTGTAGTAGTTGTCTGCGAGTGTGAGTGTATTAGGTTGTTTGATCAAAAGAGAGCGGAACTGGTTTTGTTGGAGGAAGTTTAGAGGGGGGTTACGAGATTCGATTGCAGCTGGTTTACAAATTATAAAGAAAAAACAATCATGCAATTTCTTTACTGTTTTTGTATTATTTTTTCTCTCTGCTTCTCGTAGTGGCGTGGTAATTTCGAAAGATACTTGAATTTTAAACAAAACTCAATCAAATTCAAAACAAAGCAGAAATTTTTTGTACGTTGAAGAAAGAACCGAACTAAGCGAGGCTATGTACAGTATTCTGTATAGAAAATTTAAAGCCGCATTGTAAATGTTTATTCCCTTTTCAGTAAAAAAAAAGAATGAGTCTCCTTTGTAAACGAAATACAATCTAATTTCAACTTTGATGCTTTCCAGAAGACACCTAAATTATCGAAGGAATTGTTATAGAACTATATAAATATATTCACATATTTACTGGTGCATTGGAAATCTTGAAAATGGTGCAGAATACAAAAACACTCAGCTATTGTAGTTACTCGATTAGTTACTCGCAAAAAGGGACAGCACAAAACAGACATGTACACTTCTAAGAAATGAAATTTAAAGAAAATCAAAAACAAACAAGAACCAAATTTGGTGCATCTCAAAATTCTAAGTTTTTGCCATCATTTTTTCCCCAAATAGGTTTAGGGAAGAAATTAATGTAAAAGATGCGTGAAAGATTGCGTTTTCTAAAACAAAACCGAAATGTGAATAAGCTCAATTAAGATCAATAGTTGATTGATGGAAAAAAAAGGACTATTCAGGCGTCAATTTTGAACTATTTATCAATGGTATGCTAAAGAGAGCGCCGAATGTGAAACGGAACTCAAGAATAAACTGATAGCAAGAATATCTCGAGAAAATGAAGATAGTAAAAAAAATACGAGCGACTGGTTGATTGTCTTCGATTTTTTTTTTTGTGGTTCAGACTTGTTTTAAGATTTAACTTTCGAATTGCTTTTTGTTTAAAATTCTAACCTGCTGCATTCTTTGGTCATTTCTATCTAAAACGCCAGTTACCAATTGTACATCGCCCCGCATGTTGATGTGGGGATCGCGTTCCGCCGCCAGGTCCAGCACCCGCAGCCGGTTGACGGACAGACCGGCGATCACTCCGCTGAACGGCCGCTCGATACGGGCGCGTCCGTTGCGGTTGATCTTCCCACCGACCTGGACGTTGGACATTGACGTGAAGGTCGTCGATTGGTGGCCTGAAAGTATCACACAGTGTGTTTGAGCTTGGATCGGGTTCGCTAACGTGCACCAGCGATTACATACCAGTGGGGAAATGCGTTTGGACGTTGTAGTCGTCGATCTGGAGCGTAGCGTTCGCTCCGGACCGGGTGAAGCGCACGATATGGTAATTATTGTCATTCACTTTGACGCCGATCTCGCCCACCGGAAAGTCGTGCGATCCGACGTTGTACACCATGAACAAATTTCCTTCGAGCTGGTTTGAGAGGTTAGATCGTTAGCATCGAATGATTAACTCAAATCTACGTTGATAACTCACAATCTCCATTTCTATGTAGTCCTGCGTCGTCAAGCTTTCGATCCGTAGCAGTACCGCATCGAATTTGGTCGTCACGAATCCCAGGGCGATATTGTCCTCTTCCGTGTCCGGTTGCCGTCCCGGCGGGAACGTGTACTGAATCAATCCCTTATTGGTGCCAAACTCGTACGAGATAGATTCTGCAAAGATACAACCGGTCAAACTTTGAACCTCCCCTGTAGACCCCAGATCAACTCACCATCGTAGCACGTAGGTCCGGTAAACGACGTCATGTCGCACTCGCAAGCATACGCATTCCACTGCTGCACACAGATCCCCCGGTTAGCGCAAGCATTCTGGCTACACTTGGTCGGTCCCTCGCATCCGGACACGACCAACGAACTCGGCACCACAGCGTCCTCCGTCAAACTCGGCGACGTATCCGCCAAATCCACCGAAGCCATGCAACCTTCGAACCCGCTTCGGGAAGCTATGCTCGGCGGTAACCGCAGGTACATGTCCTTGAATACCCCACCCACATAGAGAATGCCCTCCAACTCCAGGTGCATGTTGTTCCCACTGGCGGTGTAGATTTCGATCGATTCATCCACCGCCAGGGTGTGAGTCTTCGGTCCCGGTCGCCGGATGCTCACCGAATGCCACCGGTTGTCGTTCATGTGAATCCGGGCCTTGTCTCGGACCGTAATCGTTCCATCGCCCAGATCGAACACGTAGTGGATGTGACCGTTGACCAGTTCGACCGCTACGAAGTCACTCAGCTTGCCACCGTTGTAGAACAGCAGACCGTTGGGTTCGAGCGTTTTGAAGCGGAAGTCGATGAACACGGACGAGTAGGCCTTCAGCATCGGTAGACCGACGTAGGAGTGCTTGGAGCGGAAGGTGGCCGGCAGGTAGGGCGATCCCGGCGGAGAGTTGATGAAACGGGCGGTCAGCTTGAAGGTTGTCGTCGGCAGGGCCGACAGCTCCGGACCGAGCGTTTTCACCAGGTCGATGTAGCTGTGGAAGAGAGAAGATTGTTTAAAAATGTGTCTGAGATGTTCATTTGTTGGGATTTTGCCTAGCATACAATGTATTTTTGTGGATCTTACTATGGGCGAGTCTCCTGAACACTTCATGGAAATTAGCAAAATTTTCTAGGAAAAGGTAAATGAACCCGAATAAGTTCGGTTCGGACTTCGAAGAACCTTCAGTAAGAGCCTAAAAAATCTGGAATTTCTCACCGAGGCAATTTCAGAGGCATCCGGAAGACCATAAAGCTATGAGGTTAAGCTCATAAGACGTAAATTATAGGGGCAGATCACTTCCCAAGTAACATTTCTGGTTTTATAAGGGTTCTGTTACCCATGATTTAGACTTGTAGAATGCTCGACAAAACTTACAATGTTGCTTGGGTTGTGGTGCATTTAATATAACAAAAAAAAAAGGTTCTGCATGATTTCGATGGAGATTTCCGATGCTGCCAACATAAGTTACAGGGAATTTCGACGGATGTTTCCCACGTTCTTGGTTGACGAACTTACGATTTCATAAGTGTCCACTGCTGCCAATGGAAGTTCCAATGAATTTCGGTGGACGAGGATCTGTTCCAGGAAATTTCAACAGAGTTTTCTCGCGGTTTCGAAAAAGAAGCTTCCGAACGATTTCCTTGGATATTTCTGATGCTGCCAATGGAAGTTACAGGGAATTCAGTCCTCTCACGTTCTTGTTTCGGAAGCCTCCGTGAGACTGGTGGTGATTGCTGATGCTGCCAACGGAAGCTCCAGGGAACTTCGACGGAGCCCCCTCGCGTTCTCGGAGCAGCCTGCACTCGATTTCGGTGGAGATTTCCGAAGCTGCGAAACCTCCACAACCGAGAACACGAGAAAACAGCGTTTCAATTCCCTGAAACCCTCGCTGGAAGCATCGGAAATCGTGTGGAAGCTCCTCGACCGAAAACATCCGTCGAAATTCCCTGGAACCATTGGCAGCATTGTAAATCTCCACCGAAATCGGGTGGACGTTCCCCCGAAAAACGCGAGAAAACTCCGTCAAAATTCTCTGGATCCTCCGTTGGCAGGTCCGGAAATCTACTCCGGAACTGTGCAGAGCCTGCTCCACAAAAAACGCGAGAAAACTCCTTGAATCTTCCGCTGATAGCATCGGGAATCTCCACCGAAATCTTGTGGAATCTCCTTCACCGAGAACGCGGAATAATCCGTCGAAATCTACTGGAACCTTCGTTGGTAGCATCGAGGGGGACGACTCTATCTACGATGCAGAAAAGATTGTGTTTTGCTGTGGCTTGCTGCGCGCACGCTAAGAAGATAGAAAGAAGATTGATGACGATTCTGAAGATTTCCTGCAAAAAGATGATGCACGATGCAAGTAGATGCGACAAATGAAAGAAGACTTTTCGAAGATTGATTCGTTAGTGTGAGATTTGTTGAGCATCTAAACTTGAGATTTAGATGTGTCGTCCCCCTCGGGTAGCATCGTAAATCTCCACGCACGGGAATCGCCTTGAACTCTCTTCGCCGTGAACATGTGACATCCCGCAGAGCTGTCAGTATTATAATAATATCTTTTTACGATTCTAAAAGGTGTATATGAATACGGTGACTCTACAAGGTCGAATCTCCAGGACGAATTCAGAAGACATTCATGTGGCCTGATGAATTCTGGAGAATTGCAACAGAGATTCCAGATCTCGATAGGATTTGAACGGATTCAACTGGAAAACGATCATGACTGGAATTCTAATCGATCCCGACTGGCATTATATTGGATCCCGGTTAGGGGTTTGATGGTGTCCGGTAGGAATTCCAATCGGTCTTAGAAAGGGTTGTAATGGATCCTGACCGGCACCTGTCGTGATCCGTTTGAGCTCTGGTCAGAATTCCACCAACGAATCCTTACAATAATTCCAACGGGTCCTGATAGGACTCAAACGGATCCCGACAAGGTCTTCAACAGACCATAGGAATGTAAAAAATACCCGCAAGGGATTCCAGTGTACCCGTGGCATATTTCAAATGGAGATCCTTATGGATTTTGATAAGAATTCCAACGGATCCAGATGGTAATTCCAATGAATCCTGCCAGTGGCTTCAATGGATCGTGACAAGATATCGCACAGATCTGTGTATTTAAAAAGTTCTTAACAGAGACTCCAACAGATCCCGTTCTTGGGCATTTTAAGGGATCCCTTCAGTGATTTAGGCATTCGAATGGATTCAAACTGAGATTAAAAATGGATCGGAACAGGATTTAAAATCGTTCTAAAATGAGATTTCAATTTCTTATGGGGCCTTAAATGGATTCTGGATAGAATTACAATGGATTCCGACAGAACTTCCAACTGACTTGAAAATGGATTCCAATGGATCCTAGCAGAAACTCAAATGATCCCTTGGAGGCGAACCAGCCTCATGCTGAAAGTCTCCTTAATAAAGATAAATCAATCAATCAATCAAATGATCCCTCGCGGGACTGATTCCACTGGATTCTGACAAAAATTCCAACGGATTCCGACTGGTTCCCCGATTGTTCCCGCTAAGGATTCCAGTAGATCTCGAGAATGATTCCTACGGGATCCTGACAGAGCTTTTAATGGATCTTGATAAGAATTCCAACGGATCCTGAAAGGTCTGCGGTTCCAAAGGATCTCGGCAAGAAATCCAACCGATCTGAATAGGAATTTCAACCGATTTGACAAAGTATTCCAATTGTGTTAGTGATTCCAACGGATCCCAATATTTCTATTGGAATCCGTCAGGAAGTTCAAGTGAGGAAAAAGAAAACATAGAGGAAACTTCAATGTATCCTGATAAGGCCTTTAACAAATCCCGACTAAAAGTACAATGTACTCCGGAAAATTCCAACCAATTTGAAAAGAGATTTCCATATATCCTAACCAGAGCTCAAACGGATCCCGACAAGGTGTACAAGCGGGTTCTGACAGGGATTCCAACTGATTTCGATAGGATCTCAAACATATTCCGACAGGATCTCAAACAGATCTCGATGGGGATTCCATCGGTACCCACTAGGAAGAATTATTCCAACGGGATCCTGACAGTGATTCTACTGGATCTTGAGATACAAACTCTAATAGGTTTTGCCCATGTTCCCACAGATCACGACATAAGATTAAAATGATCTGAACATGAATTCCCACCGATCTGAAAAGGTAGGGTTAATGTCGGCTTCGGCACCCATTGACTGTTTTCGGCAACCAACGGTAATTTCACTGCATTTTCTTACCAAACACTTCGCTGAATGTTTTCCTTAGTCTTTCAGCTTCAATCTGATTGGGTTTTACGACTGAGCAAACGGATTTGACCAGGTTTTTCTTGAAATCAGTGTTGGGAAAGTATCAAAAAATCAAATCTCACCAACGCCAAAGATCACGCTTGATTTTCGTAGGCAAAAATCAACAAGCAAACAACTGCGGTTGATTTTGCAAGCTGTGATATCGCAGCTCGGAATATCAAGCTAACAAAACTCACCAACTGCAAATCTCACCAAACTGTGGTGAAATTGAATTTAATGATTTTTGCTTTACACCCGAATGCAACCAAAACTGCCATAATGGGTTGCAGCAGTCCCTTCGCGTCTGCCATCGGTGAAGATTAAAAAGAGATAGCAAACTATGCTTTCTCTTTCTAAGAAAACGATGTGCAATGGAATCATTTTTGTGTCGAGTCAACTCTCAGCTTGATTTTTGCACGTTGTGAAATCAATATCAAGCATGATATTTTGTTCCAATATCACGCGTGATATTGCGAGCGAATAACAGCGGAAAAATATCAATTGATTTCTGATTTTGCCAACACTGCTTGAAATGATACATACGCCTTACAAAATGTTGATGATTTCGAGTTGCCTATAATAGAACAGGAGATTAACACGCTGTTCAAATGAATAGGTTGCCGAAGGAAAGAGATTGCCGACAATAGTCACACTCACCTGAGAACAACAGGCAGCAGATGAATGTACACAAACAAACACCGCATATGTGTGCGTTACGTCGAGAAAAATCTCACAGAAGCGCTGACACTGCTTAGATTGCCGAGAATACGTAAATTGCTCTATAACAATGGATCTTGACGGGGACTCCAACAAATCCCGACATGAATTTTAAGGGATCCGTTGAGTGATTCTAAGCATTCTGTTAGAGATTCTAACTGGGATTAAAAAAAGCATCTGAACAGAAGTTCCAATCGATGAAAAATGGAATTCCTATGGATCCCGACGGGAACTGTAACGAATCCCGATAGGGAGTAAAATCGGTCTGCACAGGAGTTCAAATCGACCTTAAATGGATTTGAATTCCTACTAGAGTCCCAGATGGATTCCGGCTAGGAGTACAATGGATTCCGACAAGAATTTCAACTGATCCTGAAACGAGATTCCAATGTATGTTGACAGGGAACTCAAACGCATCCCGACCGGGATTCCAACGGATTCTGACTGGGATTCCAACGAATATTGATAGCGTATAAATGGATCTCGACTGGTTTTATTGGATCACAAAATTGCACCGGATATCGACTTTTGTCATTTACTCGTCCAGCCCGCTCCGTAGATACCTATATTTGAAGGTCGCCGTATTGGATTCTGATCCGTCATCTTGAGTATTAAAATTGCTACTACTTATAAAGCTCGTTCCGTTGATACCCATATTGTAGTTTTCAGTCCGCCAAATTAGATTTAAAATTGCACCGGATATCGAGGGGGGTGAAACATCTAAATCTCAAGTCTAGATGCTCAACAAATCTCCCACTAGCGAATCAATCTTCTTTCATTTCTCGCATCTACTTGCATCGCGCATCATATTTTTGCAGGGAAATTTTCAGAATCGTCATCAAACTTCTCTCTATCTACTCAGCGTGCGCACGGCTAGCCACAGCGAAACACAATATTTCCTGCATCGTAGATAGAGTCGTCCCCCTCGCCGGATATCAATTTTTGACATCTACTCGGAGAACTTAGAGATTAGGGCGTAATTGCTTATG